TACATACACAACAGATTATTAGTCAGCCATGAAGAAAAATGAAATTATGGCATTTGCCAGTAAATGGAAATGAAATAAGCCAGTTCCCAAAAAATTAAAGGCCAAATGTTCTCTCTGATATGTGGATGCTAGCCCACAACAAAGGAGGGTAGGAAGGGGGAAGAATAGAAGTTCATTGGATAAAACAAAGGGGAATGAAGGGAAGGAAGGAGTGATGGGAATAGCAAAGGGAGTAGAATGAATCGGATATAACTTTCCTATGCTCACAAATGACTTATTTGTGACCATTATGTTAAGTGAAATAAGTTTCACACCATCAGTGAAGCCTCACATCATGTACAACCACAAGAATGGGATCCTAACTAGAATAGTTATATTCCATGTATGTATGATGTATCAAAATACACTCTACTGTTTATGTTTATCTAAAAAGAACAAATAAAAAATGGGCAAATGAATTAAATAGATATTTCTTAAAAGAAGAAATATAAATGGCCAACAAATATGTGAAAAATATGTTAAACATCTTTAGTAATAAGGGAAATGCAAATCAACACTACACTGAGATTTTATCACACCAGTCAGAAGGGCAGTCATGAAGAAACAAACAATCATCAATGCACAAGGTCAACCTGGGATGCCTTACTCAGGCTTTCCCAATCCCTGTCCTTAGTGCTTTCAAAATACTACTCAAAAAGGCTACTAGGAGGAAGCCCAGTGGTCAACACAAAAGCACACAGGTAATCAGGCAATTAATCACCACTGTAAGAGGAATCAAGTCATGAACAAACAAAAGAGGAGTTGGGTTTCCTATGGGAAACCCCAAGAATGCCAGGAGGAAGAGCATTTTTGGAACATTCTCATCAGAACTCTTGGAAAGATTCATACATCAAAAGCAAGTTGCTATTGAAAAGCAAAATCAGAAAATTAGAATTCCAAGAAGTGAAATCTTGACAATTTAATTATCAAAATTAATTTCAAAATTCCGGGAAGTCTAATAAATAGAATAGATGAAGCAAGGACTGAATTAGTGCTGGGGAAGAGAAAGTTTGGAGGATAAAAAAAAAAAAAAAAAGCAATCTTCCAAAAGGCAGAGACAGGAAGTAAAGAGAGGAAAAAGGTGAGGAAAGACTGAGAAAAGGCCTGGACAGTTCACCTTCCCACACGATGCTGGAAAGAATACAGAAAGAGGACATAACTTTTTTTTAACCTTAATTTATTTGTGTATTTTTATGTGGTGCTGAGGATCGAACCCAAGGCCTCCGCACATGCTAGGCGAGTGCTCTACCCTTGAGCCATAATCCTAGCCTGGACATAACGTTTTACCAAACAGAGGAATGAAAGTCTTGAGGTTGACAGGGCTCACACAGAGACATACTGATGAGATCTGTAAGGATAAAAAGAATATCCTGACACAGAAGATTGTTTGTGAAGAGACCCAAGTCAAATTTAATCAGACTGACCTCAGCAGCACTGGATGTTACAAGACAATGGATAAGCTGGGGTGTAGCTCGGTGGTACATGCATGAGGCTCTGAGTTCAATCTCATGAAGAAAGGAAGGAAGGAAGGAAGGAAGGAAGGAAGGAAGGGAGGGGAGGGGAGGGGAGGGGAGGGGAGGGGAGGGGAGGGGAGGGGAGGGAAGGGAAGGGAAGGGAAGGGAGCAAGTTCCAGATTTGGAGGCAAATAACTTGAACATAGAAATATATGCCAGTTGGATTAAATGTAAAAATATTTCAGACACAAGCAAAGAATCAGAAGCTTGTCTTCTATATGCTATTTCTAGAAGAGTTACTTAGAGACATACTGGGAGATGAGCAGAAAAGGAATCCAAGAAGGAAAAAAACTGGGGCTCTAAGAACCTAACCTAGTAAGACAATGACAAGAAATACCAAGATGACAGTTGCTCTGAGTGCCTCAGTAGAACTGAGTCCAAATTAGAAAGGAAGTCAGAGGCTCCATGGAAACACTATTCAGGAAGATGGTGGGTGACATTAGATAAATCATGAGATAAAGATCTCATCTATCCACATACCGTCTGCCAAGAATAAGATGGTGGCATTAAAAAATATTTTTTTCAACAGAAAGAGAATGGTCACTAGATGTTCAGGGAAATCAAATTATAAGAAAGTCATGTTCTAAATATGAAGAAAGTTAGATTTTGAGCAGTTAATAGTGTATGAGAAATAGTGCCGAATCTTCTGAATTAGATAAAGTCTGTTTGAGTTTATATTGGGTACTTGTCATACACAATTCTCTGCGCTGAGCGTGTTTGTTTGATTTCTTTGTAGAGCTGAAGAGATTGGGTCTGGGGGCACTCAGGATGTACTTTACTGAACCACATCCCCAGCCCCTTTTAAATTCTATTTTGAGACCAGATCTCACTAAGTGGCTCAGGTTGGTCCAGAACTTTCATCCTCCTGCCTTAGCCTCCTGAGTTGTTGGGATTACAGGTATGTACCAGTGTATCTGGCTAACTCGAATAATTTTGGGGGTTACTAAAGACTGAACACAGAGGTACTTGACTGCTGAGCCACATCCCCAGTGCTTCTTATTTATTATTTTGAGACAGGTCTTGTTAAGTTGCTCAGGGCCTTGCTAAGTTTCTGAGGCTGGCTTCAAACTTGGGATCCTCTTGCCTCAGCCTCTGAGCAGTTGGGATTATAGGTGTGAGCCACTGTGCCCTATGTAAATTCATTTTTTAAAAAAAAATTTATTAGTTATCAATGGACCTTTGTTCATTTATTTGTTTATATGTGGTGCTGAGAATTGAACCCAATGCCTCACACATGCTAGGCAAGCGCGCTACCACTGAGCCACAATCTCAGCCCATAAATTCATTTTTTAAGGAAATGTCCTTTTTCTGATAGCCCGCAGAGATTTGCCTTTTGAATGTGCCCGCCTACAGGATTTTTAGTTTCTCTGGGGCAAGGCTGAGCGTCTCCACCACTTTTGTTCTCTTGGTCCAGCTTAGCCCAGTCCTTACTGGGGTCAGGAGGGCACCCTGGGCAGACACAGCACCCCTCTGCTCCCCATACCCTTTCATAGACATCCTGTATGGGGTGAGGGACAAGGGAAAGTAGCAGGTCCAACTTGGTTAAGCACGGTGGTGAGAACCCACACGTTAGGAACTTAAAGTCCTCTACACCAACCATTAGACTTCTGAATTTGCAATAAGTAAAAATGAAAGGCCTGAGTACTTCAGTGTTGAATCAGTCCAATCACAAAAATAATCAAACAGCAGAAATAAACACAGAGCCTCTTCCCATGCGTAGTAAGTGCTTTGCTGGGCTTTGTGTTCCTGCCATGATGCTCTGTCTCACCACAGGCCCAAAGCAATGGGGCCAATTGATCATGGGCTCAAACCCCCCAAATTCTGAACCCAAATAAACTTTTTTTCTTATAAATTAATTGTCTCTGGTATTTCATCATGGTGTTGGAAAACCAACTAATATAAGTAGAGAGGGGGACAGGAGAAAATGAAGGGAGGACCTTGTTTTCAAAGAGGATGAAACCCTGGAGGCAGGAAGTGCTTCCAGTGCCCAAGGAGTCAGGCCCTGGGAAGCAGGTCTGTGCTTCAGGTTGCTTTCTCTGCCCCCGAATCTTGACATTATCCTTGACTTTGTCTCCAGGTTCTGCTTCAGCATCTTTATTCCAAAGAAACAAGGCTTTTAAAAACATTTTCATAGGCCCTGGCTTGCTTACTATGAGAAGGCAAACACATTAGAATGCAGCTACTTTCCAAATTAAGTAGGATTTTTTTGGTAAATACTTTTGATGGGATGTTATATTGAATCATATGAAATTGCCATTTAGCAAGGTCGACAAATGGCCTGATATTAGCAATTTCATATGGTTCAACTTAATGACTTTGCTTTTGAAATCGTTTGGCCATAAGTGCTGCATTTAATTTACAGTTTGCTATGATTTCTCAGCAACCATTATGGAATTTATATGAAAAGAAAATTCTAACCTACAGATTGTGATTAGAGATAATGATATTATAAATGTTCATGAATACCACATTTAACAATTAATGGAGTTGACATAATGTGGCATCTCTAAACATTCCAGTAAACATTTATTCACGAGGATCTGAGTTGTCTTCATTTTGGAGCTGTTGGAAGTTAGCTTCCCAGGAAGCAGGTCTCTGAGACAGATTCGCCCACCAGCAGCTGGGGGAATAAACTTTTCAGTCCTATGGGCATCTGGAGGGCAAAGCAGAGTATCCATAATTGCTGCCCCTCCCCTTTTTAAGTTTCTGCTAGCCTCCCAGCCCTGGATCTAAAGGAGCCAAGAGATCAAAGCCCTGCTGAACGGAGCTGATGGGACTTGTGGCATTAGTTATGAAGGGAAAGACTTTCATATAGCCTCTAGAGGAACAAGAGGGTGTTGGGCAGGGTGAGGCTCACTGGTGGATGTCAAGGAGCACTACTGTAAAGAAGCCAGAAATCCTACCTGTTTACCCGCCTCCTACCCCGGGGTCAAGTTTAAATTCCTGACTGGTAGGTCATGGCCTTACTTTGAACCTTGGGGAAGGTGCAGGACCTGGTGACTGCCATCTCTCCCTCCAGCCTCAGGGCTCAGTTTAGCCATTTTAGTGACCTCCTGGTGTTTTGAAGCTCACCTCAATGGCTCCAAAGTGTAGCAAATCAAGGTCACAGTTCACTGTTGGAAGTGAGTTCCAAAACTACTCAGATTTTAATTAAGCCATCTATGAATTTTCTCTTTTTTTTTTGCTTCATGTCCTGACTGTTGGTGGGGGCAGACAGCAAAGATGAGATCCAAGCCAGGCTGATTTATAAAGAATCATGCCTATCTCTCCTTCCCCTCTCTCATGACCCTGTGCAGGCATGGTTATGGCTGGGACACTGTATTTCATTACTAAGCTGCAGCAAATGAAAGAAAGAAAGAAAGAAAGAGAGAGAGAGAGAGAGAGAGAGAGAGAGAGAGAGAGAGAGAGAGAGAGAGAAAGGAAGAAAGGAAGGAAGGAAGGAAGGAAGGAAGGAAGGAAGGAAAGGGGAGTGGAGCCCCAAATTAGAGAACCAATGGCTTAATCACAAGGACCCCTGTACCTGCTTTGCTGAATATCTACTAACATTGCACCTATGCAGACACTGGTGTGGCCCCTGTGCAAGGATGACATGGAAACTTGGAATGCATTCCATATTTTCTTCAGGGTTGTTGAAAAAGTTCTGAAGATTAATAGTGATGATGGTTGCACAGTGTGAATGTACTTGAGGCCACTGAACTGTACACTTAAAAGGACTAAAATGGTAAATCTTATGTTACATATGCTTTACCACAATTTTTATTTTAAAAGCAAAAAAACACAGCCCAAAGGGATGGAGAGCTGAAAACATTATAGATAGGAAGTAGACATCTATGAAGTAAAAGTCACATGATTCATGAAATAAATCACAGGCAAATGAAAAACAAATATTAAAATCCAAATATAAGCTCTCAGACATGATATTAACCTGATGTAAGTTCAGAGTAGTGGAAAGAGCAAGCTCAGATATCTCCTGGCTTCAAAGTCCAACTGTGCCACTTACTAACTGTGTGAACTTGGATAAGACACCTAAACTCTGTAACCTGTTTCCCTTACATATAAAATGAAAGTAATGACATCATATTCACAAACTTATTAGAAGAATTAAACAAGATAGCATGGGCAAGGCATTTAGCATTGTTGCTGGCTCCTAGTAGGTCCTTTTCTCATGTCTTTTCTTCCTGGTTCAGCATTAAAAGATTGCAAATACAATATTTTGTGGAATATAGAAACTAACTTGGAAAATAATCAAGATAAAATAAAAAACCAAAAAATACAGAGACAGTTTTTGGATAATAGCTTTTGGCAGAGGCAGACCAGGTATAGCAAAAACAGTAAATTGTCGAAAAAGATTTTTAAAAACACTAGCTGTAGGGTACTGGCCTAACTGCTGTGATTAAGAAACCTTTGTCATTCCTGTGCAAGGATGACTTGGAAATTTGGAATGCAAGATGGAAGTCGATTTTCCTCTGTAGAAGACTTCAGAAATAAACTGCAGAGGCAGCAAGTCACCTCCTCTGCCCTCAACACAAGATTTTCATCTTTGGGTCCAATGTGTTATTGTAGACCTGGCCTCATCTAGGTAGCAGGGAGAGTGGGGAGGCATGGACATTTTAAGAGCATAACTCAGAAATGGCCTAAGTCACTTCATTTCCACCCACATTCTGTTGGCCCAATCCATGCAGGAAAGGAAACTGGGAGCAGTGAACCCAGCTGGTGGGCATGATTTTAGCTAGATTTCAGAATTCTGTTATTCAATATGAGGAGAATGCATGTTGCTGGAAAAAGAGCCATCCCTGTCATGACCCATGGTTCTCTAGTCTATGACCACAGGCTTTCCAAAGGAGTGCAGCCACATAAAGCCCAGTTTCCTGCTTATTAATTTAGTCAGTAAATACTTACTACTTGCTAAGTGCTGGGCACCGTTCAATATGTTGCCAATACAGCAGACTGCAAAACAGACGAGGTTCCTGAGAAAGCCATGTTCAGCAGGCAGAGAAAGTAAACAAGAAATCAGAGAAAACATTGGATACCAGTAAGTGCAAAGATGGAAATGAAGGGGGCAGAGGAGCAAGGGACTTGGTGGTTGCTTTGGTTGAGTGCTTAGGGTGCCTCTTCCTGAGGAAATGACGTGTACATTGAAACCAGAATGACGGAGTTGCCTGGCATCTCAACAGCATGAAGCAGTAAATGCCAGCTGGGGGAACTGCACGGTGGAAGTTCTGATGGTGCAAAGATCTTTCGGGTTTTGTGGTGTGGAAGGGCTGGTGTGGCTGGATTCAGTGGGAGATGGGAGAGAAGACATGGAGGGAAACAGAAGGCAGCCAGGAGCAGACTTTGGAAGCATGGGAAACTGGTCCTCTGGCATTTTCCAGCATTGAGCACATTATTTGCAAGGTAGGAACTCAAATGAGTACTAAATAAATAAACTAAGATAAAGACCCGAGGCTGTTGACATCTACAGATCTCCTCTGCTCTGCCAATAGAATGACTCTCTGTGCATCCTGTACACACCCTTCCCTCCTGTTTCTCAGAACCTCTTATAAGATTGCTCTCAGTGTCTTTGATGGTCCAATGTCCCCTTGTTAAAAATGGCCTTAGGAAAGGAACTTGGGGAGAGGGCAGGTATCTGAATAAAGCAACTGCACCTGCTCTTTGGCTTTCTCTACTCTGTTAAACAGCTCCAGTCCTCTTAATTTCTCTTCCTGTGGTTTTGCAAATCTGGAACCAGCCTGTCACCCTTGATTAGGATCAAGTTGGAGGAGGCAATATAACAGTGAGTGACAGGATGGAATACTGGTTAAGCCAGTAGCCTTTACAACCAGACTGCTTGGGTTTGAGAAAGGACTTAAAATGTCACCAAAATGAGGTCACAAAATTCTTCAGCTCAGGGAAATATAAGGCATGAGACTGCAGCCAACCAGGTCATCCTGGCCTAGCATGGCAAGTTTCTGTGGACTCTCTGACACCACACAGATAATAAATAACCCGAGACGAAGCGTTTTTCTGCTTATGACAGTTCTTACCTGGAATGTATAGCATAAGTGACCAATGACCAGCGAATGTCCTGTGCTGTTCTTTTGACCAGTGCAGTTGGAACAACCAGTTTGCGATCACCATCTTTTTGTTCTTTTAAAAATAATCTATAAAAACCCAGACCTCCCCCGCCTCCCCCAGATGCCATCTCAGGAGCACTTATCTGGGCAACTAGAATTGGAGTTTTCTTCCTGAGTGTCCAGCCCCACTTTGGCTGAAGTGAACTCTTGGTTCCACCACTTTCATGCCTCAACTTGCTTTGGTTGACAGGTTTCAACCCCAGTTTGGCCAGTTACTATCTGGGTCACCCTGAGTTAGGTACTTAGCCGCTCTGGTCCTCAGTTTTCTTGCCTGTGAAATGGTGGATAATAATTGTCCATGACTGCAATCCCAAAAGATCCGAAATGAGGATTTTTTTTAGTAACTCAATTGAGGGTAAAACCTGGCCTTAGGTGATCTGAAGCAATTTGGCAGGGAACTTGACATGAATTAATTTTATTTATCCCACTTTTTGTATTACTCTATTGTACTGCGGAAATATTAATGTATTTGATTAGGGGACAAACCTAGACCCTGCTGGGGGAGTTATGAAATTTATAACCTATGGATCATACTTCTTCTTTTTTAATTAGCTTTTAGTTGTAGTTGTACACAATACCTTTATTTATTTATTTATTTTTATGTGGTGCTGAGGATCAAACCCAGCGCCTCGCACGTGCTAGGTGAGCGCTCTACCCCTGAGCCACAACTCCAGCCTCTGGATCATACTTCTTAAAATCAGAATAATTATGAATTCCAAAAACTATTAGGCCTCAAGGATTTCAGATAAGAGGCAAACTGATTTCAGATAAGGACAGTACTGTCCTTAAAACATGACAGCAAGAATGAATGCAAGATTTCAGTTGTGATCATTGGACTAGCTCAAAATATCATGAGGAAGGTACTTGGATGTCAGTCATCCCCCAAACTCACGTTTCACTATTGTGGGTGAGATGACAAAATGTGGCTCAAATATATCATTAGGTGAATTTGCAGGTGCTCCTCAGGGCAGTCCCACTGTGCTCTGGCTTTGGCCAATCCATAGCCATTAGTTTCAGAGATGATTTCTCATAAGTGGGGACCCTTGGGTACAAGAAACAGAAGTCTGCATGAGCTAGCTCAAGCCAAAGGAGTCTCAAAGAACCCAAGATCAAGAGGCAACTGGGCCTTAGGGAGGTTCTGGAACCAGAGATAAGAGCACCACAGAAATTTAAGAACTCCCTCCTTCTCTCTTCCCTACTGTATGCAAATCCATTCCATCCATCCATCTGGCTACAGAGTAGCTTTCTCTACTTTGTAATTAACTTTTTAGAAAATGACCACTGCCTGAACCCCCCGAGTCATATCATCTTCATTATGAGCACAGTCCTACAGGGGTTGGACTTCTAAGTCCAAATTCCAAACTTCTCAGGACGGGGGACATTGGAATAAGTCTTATCATTTCGAGAGAGGAGACACTTCATGAAGGAAGTGGTCAGATACTATAGTTGGGCAAGATTATTTAATTTTTCTGTGCCTAACTCATCCAAGAGAACTCTCAGCAGTTTTTAACACTATGCAAAATAGTGTTAAAAATTGTTCATTGAATTCAGCAGAAAGATCATTAATGACCATTTTGAGCAGGTAGAAGGATAGCAGGGCTGAAGTTGTGGTACACTGAATGTAAAGAACAGGAGACAGGAGGTACAGATGACTCTCATGAATTTTTGATTTAAGCCAAGCAGATGAGTGATAGATGCAATTAATTATTATTGTTCAATGTGGTTTAAGTGGCTAAGGGGTGGAGTGGTATGTAGGGACAAGATCACTTTGCCTAAACATGGTTGCTACCTCAGTAACTTTGTGGATGGGGAAGGGATGGGAAGCTCCTGGTAGAATGGGGGTAAAGATAATAAAGAGTGGAGAATGGAAGAAAACAAGAGTGTGTGTGTACGAGTATTTGTGTGTGTGTGTGTGTAAGCTACTCAAAAGACATGGCGGGAATAGTTACTGCTGTGGTTTGGATGTTGAACATCCCCCAAGGCCCATATATGACAGCTTGGTCCCCAGGCACTGTTGGAAAGTGGTGGATCTTTTGGGAGGTGAAATCTAGAGGAAGGTTGTTAATCCTGGGGGCTGCCCTTGGGAGGCAGTTCTCTGAGAGGGTTGTTAGGAAAGTTCAAGTCTGGCCCCCACTCAGTCCTTTCTCTACTGCTGGCTTGGGATGTCATCTCTTGCTTGCTCCCCAAGGACACTCCAGCCATTGACATCTGTCATGCACCATAAGATGAGGCAATTAAGGGGTGGTCCTCACCAAGCTGGCCCAATGCCATTTGGACTTTGAACACTGTGAGCTAAACAAACCTCCTTTTCTTTATAAGTATCCTATCTCAGGTGTGTGGATATAGTAATGAAAAGCTGACTCGTACAGTTTTGGATTCACAACAGTCCTCTTTAAAGCTAGAAAAGTACCAAGTGATTGGGCAGGTGGTCAGGTTGTGAGTAGAGATGTTTCTGACCCCATTATCTTTCCATCTGGGAAATGTTTCAGTGGAGCAAGGCAAGGAAAAGACCAGCAATAGCCCATTTCGGCCCTTGGTTAGATTTCCTAGGGAGTAAAATCACACCTCCCAGTCCTACTTGCTAATCACCATGCCATCAGAGTCTATGTAACCCCAGCTCGAGGTATTACCTATGAGATGCAAAAACTGAGTATGCAGTTAGTGAAGAGATGTCTGCAGTCTCAGTAAAACCAGGCCTTGTTAGGAAGAGCTGTGGATTGGAAGGCAGGACACCTGGGTTTGAATCATAGCCACTGAAAACTTGGGTGCATCACTTACTCTTACTGGACCTGAATGTTCTTATCTGTAAAACAGAGTTGTACTCAATGTTTTCTATCATTACTTCTTGCTCTAACTTGCTAAGATTCTCCTTGTCTTTTGAGCTTCAAGGTTTCAGAGCATTCTAGATCTTTACCAGAAAGTATGAGTCTGGGGAAGTTGAAACCCAGAAGAGCCAGCTGCATTAGTTTGCTAGGGCTGCTTAACAAACTACCACAGACTGGGCGGCTTACCAAAAGAACACTTATTGTAAAGCTTATCACAGTTCTGGAGCCTCCAAGCCCAACATCAAGGTGTCTCCGCTGGGCTGCAAGGGAATCTGTTCCAGTCCTCTCCCCTCTCTTCAGATTTGCTGGCAGTCTCTGGCCTTCCTTGGCTTATAGATGCATCATCTAATCTTTGTTTTCATCTCCATGTGGGATTCTCTATGCATCTGTCTCTATGTTCCCATTAAAAAAAAAAAAAAAAATCAGGACACCAGGCCAGGTCGAGTGGCCCACACCCTGCAATCCCAGCAACTCTCTCTCTCACACACACATACACAAAGGGCACCAGTTTAGGGCCGCTCTAATGGCCTTATTTTATTTATTTATTTTTATTAAAGCATTGTAGTTATACATTGTCATTGGTTCATTTTGACAAAATCATACATGCATGGGATTTGGTTTCAGTCCCTACCCTCTGTTTCCTCCCCTCCTTTCTCTCCCTAGTCTTCTTATCTACTGATTTTCCTTTGCTCATTTATTTTTGATTAGATCTTCTATGTACACAATAAAGGTGAAATTCCCTGTGGTATATTTATATATGCACATAACGTGATTTTGTTAAATTCATTCCACATTTCTTCCCCTTTCTCATCCCTCCTCCTTCCCTTTTGATCTCCTTCTACTCCACTATTCTTCCCTGATTATGATATTCCATTCCTTTCCACCTTCTTTCCTTTATTTTGCTGTAGCTTCCACGTATAAGAGGAAACATTTCACCCTTGATTTTCTGAGTCTGGTTTATTTCACTTAGCATGATGTTCTTCATTTCCATCCATTTACCAGCAAATGCCATAACTTCATTCTTCTTTGTGGCTGAGTAAAACTGCATTGTGTATATATGCCACATTTTCTTGACCCATTCATCTATTGATGGGCATCAGGGCTGATTTCATAATTTGGCTATTGTGAATTTGCTGCTATAAATATTGATGTGGCTGCATCCCTATAGTATGCTGATTTTAGATCTTTTGGATATATACCAAGGAGTGGGATAGCTAGGTTTTATAGTGGTTCCATTCCTAGTTTTTTGAGGAATCTCCACATTGTTTTCCAGGGTGGTTGTACTAGTCTACAGTCCCACCAACAATGTGCAGCTGCCTTTCCCCCACATCCTGAATAACATTTATTATATTTGTTTTCTGGGTTAATTGCCATTCTAATTGAAATGAGAGGAAATCAGTGTAGTTTTGATTTACATTTATCTAATTTCTAAAGATGTTGAACTTTTTTTCATATAATTGTTGGCCATTTGTGTTTCTCCTTTTGAGAAATGTATTTAGTTCTTTATCAATGGCCTCATTTTAATTCCATTATCTCTATAAAGATCCTATTTCTCGGTAAGGTCACATTCTGAGGTAGTGGGAGTTAGTACCTCCATATATCTTTTCTGGAAGACACAATTTGACCTATAATACCAGGTGTAGTGCCTGGCTAGATGTTTCTTCATGGAAGAAATGGACCAAAAGTAGATTTGGGGATTTTTTTTCCCATTAGCCAATATGTTTTTCTTATTTTTGTGCAATACTCAGAGTTATGTTTATCTATCTTCTTGCTTGTTCCCTCTGTTGTGTCTCCGGCTCCAATTTATATAAAATTTTACTTCATTTCCCTCATTCTTCCTAATTGGATCTTGGAAAATAAAGAAAAAAATATGTTCTTTACTCTCTGGTTCACCTTCCAGAGAAAGAATGCAACCAATATCTTCATGGAAGCACAATTCTGCTTTTAAAGCCTCTTTTCTTCTCTACATTTCCAGGGTCTCATGGAAATCTTGGTGTTGAAGGGACCTTATATGTTTTCTAAGCCCCCATGTGGCTTGCCACACCCTTAGGCATCTTTGCATGACCATCTCTCTACTTCTGAAGTATTATGATAATGACTGTAAGCATTAGATGTATCTATGTTGGGCTGAAATCCATTTCCTCATCTGTCACCAAGAGCAATCTAGAGCTTGACAGAGCAAAGCCATTCTGTGTTCCAAGTTCCATGTTCCTTTGGGCAGCTCTGGAAGCAACACCAGTTACTCAGTCCCAGATTCCTAATAACATTGAGACACAGATTTCTCTGGTTTCACAAGTTAATTAGCTAAAGTCAGGGTCTGTAACTAACTAGTTGAGATAACTTGGGAAGGTTATAGAACCTCTTTGAATATCAGGATCCACATCCTTGAACTGAGTTACAGCAAAAGAATTTGGGTTTCAAGTGCCTGCCCTCTCAGTAGCTTAACTTTAATGAACCTCAGTCTGTTAATCCACAAATGAGGACTAAAGTACCTGCCCTCAATTCGTCATAGGATTGATGAGAACAAATGCGACAGTGTTTGTAAAAGTGATTTGTCGCCTGTTACCGATGTTGCTGCTGCTGCCATTCTTAAGGGCCTGGCAGGAGGTTCTCTTTCTAGACTGGGTTAAGACAGGAAATACATTAAAAAAACAAAATAAAACCACTTTTGCTCCAAGTCACCCTAAACAACTAGGAAGTGTTTGGGATATGAATGCGTAGGAAAACCAGGAGGGGTTATTCAAAAAATTATTTTCCTAATCTATGGCTCAAGTTCTGAGTTTTAGCCAGCTTCTAGAGGTGTCTGGGAAAGAGCCAAGTTCAGCTCTTAGAAGATCAAATTGGGGAGAAGTGCATGTATTGTTCTGGAATAAATTAAGCAAAACACAGGATGACAACCATTCTTTTGATCCCTTCCTCTGTCCAAGTCAAGAACTAGCTCCTCTTGACTTTAGAGACTTTAAGAAAAAAGTGGACACAAAAGAGTTCTTTTGTAAAGAATCACAAGAAAATAAAATGCTGGGTGTGTTCTTTCCTGGCCACCTCTCCTCTTCATACCTCTTTCTTGTAGCATTAAACAGAACAACAGAACTCTGTATGCAACTCACAGATGAAACCATTACAGAACTAGGAAGGTATTTCCCTCCCGGATGTGGACCTGAGACTCCACAGGTATGGCCCAGGGCTACTTCTCAGCAGCACCAATGGTCAGTGGGGCTCCTCATAGATCCATGCACACCCATTCCATTCCTGGGGTATGCCAGGTGAGTTATGACCTTCCTGGTTCTCATGATGTCCTGTTTTTGTCTAAGAGTGTCCTGTGGCCCTTTCAACCAGTCTAACACAAAGAGAATGGGGCTGCTTTCAGGAGCCCGAGGGTCTGGCGTCTGTGCTGCTTACACATGAGCAATTTTAGTATCCAGAGATTCACATCAGGAGCTAATTAAAGACAATCCTAAATTATTTATCTGGGTTAGATTTCTGTTCACGCTTCTTCAGAATAAAAATTCTATTTCCCTGATATTATCATAAACCATCTTAATGAATCACAAATGTTTGTTTTTGTGCCTCTCTGTTAATTTTTGTTTTGGCTCTGACCTTGGTTTATAAAAGAGCAAGCTTCAAGATTTCTACAGTCCTTGCTACCACCAAGTGTAATCAGCTGAGAAAATGTTTTGTAGCACTGGTAAAACCATCTGATAATGGCCTGAATTTATATTTAGGGATAACAGAATAGGGACTTTGAAGCCTTATCATTGAAAAACACTCAAAAGCAAGCAAAATATAAAATACACATAATTTTTAAAAGATCAAGTTACCCATAATTAGAGTACTGGTTCTCAAGCTTTTGTATTTTTCTGTTACCTCAGTAGGTCCTTGGTGTAGCCATTCCAACTCTGGTTTTTGTTTCTGTTTTTGTGGCACGGAGGATTGAATCCAGGGCCTCATGCAAGTTAGGCAAACTCTCTGCCACTGAGCCACATCCCTATGCCTCATCTTTAAATTTTGAGCAGGATCTTGGTAAGTCATTGAGGCTGACCTGGAACTTGCAATCCTCCTGCCTCAGCCTTGCTGATGGCTTGGATTATAGGTGTGGGCCACCATATCTGGTTCAAACTCTGGGTTATTTGCTTATTTATTTTTTTTAAACTTTGAGAATATTTATTGTAGGATTTGATTTAGGGGGAAAAAAACCTAATGAAACACATCTATGCATGCATAATTGTGGAAATCCACTGAAGGAAGGAGGAGTAAATTAAATAGAAGATATTGAGAGATGATTGATGGAAAAGTGAGCTTTAGATGAGTCAAAAAGTCTAAGAAAGATTTAGTTATACCAGATTGGAAGTTGGGGAGATCCTTCTGAAAAGGTTGAAGGAACAAAAACAAAACTAAACTAAAATGACTTGAGTCAAACTCTGGTTTTGAAAAAGCTCTAGTGGTGATTCTGAAAGACTCCTCTCCAAGAGTAATTTACAATTTCTAATTCACACTACCAGCCCCAGCCCATCAAAATGTGATGCTATTGGCTCTTCCTAACTCAATAAAGTCTCTTTATTTTATTTATAAACTAAATGATAAACTTATTTGGTGCATGCTTTTGTAAAATTTACACTATTTTACAAAGTTTTGCTCACAGGCAAAGTTCTTTCTGTTACAACCCTTATTTATTTTTTCTTAGTCTTAAATCCTGTTAGAGTTAAAAAAATAAATTTAGTAAGAAATAATTTGAAAAAAATCTTTTTAATGGCTGTGTATATGTGTTTTCATATTTACAACTGTGTTAGTCTGGGTTTTGGGGGTTGTAACATCACAATTCACCTCAAACCTGCTCAGGCAAAAAAAGTGAATGTATTGGCTCATGCAGTGATAAAGTTCAAGCTGTGGCTGCTTCAGCTAGACGCAGGGATTTCATTAATCATCCCAATGGTTTTCGTAACCTGAGCCCCCCCCCCCCCTTTTTTCCCATTGTAAATAAACTTCATTCATGTGGCCAAGACAGAAAGTCACCAAGAGCTTGGGATACCCCCCCTCCCCGCCCAGCTAAGCAGCCCTCGAAGGATCTCGATCCTGCTATCAGTATTATCAGCTGCAGAAGGCTCCACTGGTTGCCTCTGGTTTGGGTCTTATCTTGTGGCTGGTGCTGGGGCAGAGATTGATGGCACTGTGATAGTAGGAGCAAATGTGACTCCATTTTGTTTTATGACTTCATCCTGTAAAACAACCATGCCAAGTAGAAGAGTCATGACTGGAGCAAGATGTTCTTTTCCTTTTGCTATAGAAACCTTTAAGAACACGGAACTACCTAATGGGGTATTGTTTCTGTAACTAGGGTAACGGGGCTCTGTTTCTGTAACTGGGGTGACTGGGCTAACTGTGATTGGTTAGGCTTCCCTCCGCTTGATTGCACTGTCCCACTTCTGTAACCTGGCTTGCTTGCATTGGCTAGACCCCCTAAACATCCCTTTTGCGGTTTTCAGGCTTATAAGGATTGCCCTTGCAATTGTTCGGGGCTGATCAGGGGAATAGCTTTATGTTCTGGTCAGCCGCCACTGGTGTGCTTCAATAAAGGCTTGATTCGATTATACGTGAGTGGTCTGGAAGTCAGTTTATGAAACCCTGGGACGAAGCTTTAACTATAACATTTGGGGGCTCGCCCTGGATCCATTTCTTCCCTACCCTCACGCCAAATTTGCCTCCAAAAACGGGGCTTTGGACCTCGGTCCCGGAGTAGAGGGGAGCTCCTGAGAGACGTTCCTCAGCCTCACTCCGAGGACGACTCCAATCCATCCTAGGACGCTCTGAAAAGCTCCTGCAGGCTGTCAGTTCTGGTGAGTCGACTCTTCTCTGGGGGAAAAGGTCAGATTGGACACAGTCGCTTACACCTTCTCCGGGACAGGATGAGACGTTGTCACTGTCTCCCTGGAGGTCTCCCTGTGAGACCTCATCTGTCTGTATCTGGGGCCCACTGGAGGCCTCCCTGGGAGGCCTCATCTGTCTGGGGGCAGGATGAGATGGTCGTCTCTGCCCCATTAGAGGTCTCCCTGTGTGACCTCAGCGATTGTTGCTTGTCCTGTGTCTGTTTTGCTGTTTGTCGTTTCTCCAGCATCCTCTTGCTGTTTGTCATTTGTCCCATGTCTGTTCGCTGGCTGTTTGTCCTGTTCTTCTATCTGAGTGTTGTGTGCGGGCCCTTTTCCTGTTCTCATAACCACTCTTCTTTCACCAGGACTCCTTCGATCCACCGACATCAGAAACAAGGAAATGCTACATTTCCTCTACCTGGACCCCTTTAACTTGTTTTCTTAACAATTTTCAGGACTTTGTTGGTTTGTTTTTGTTTGTTTCCTTTGTGTTCTGTGTTAATTTCTACCTCAGTTTGTTTCTAATGGGAAAAAATGGTTAAAATGGTTTTAACTGTGCTCACTACAGCTTACATTAAAATGTAAAGTGCTGCCAACAGGACTAAAAAAATTGTCAAAAGTAAAAGCTAAAGGTAAAAAGAAAAAGACATTCTAGAGATTGCCTTCATTTAGGAACTGGGCCAGGTGGCCAACTGGGTAAATCATGTCAGTTCCTATAGAGGACAGATTAAAACTAAATGTTTTATAAAATTATTATTCCTATATTGTATAACAAAAAGCATAATTTTGTCTAGAAATTTGGCTTTTGTCTCTCAGTATTTACAAGCATGAATAACTCCCAACTATTAAAAAATGGTCTAAAGATTTTTCAATGTCAGGCTAAAAGTTGGTGGCTGCTATCCAAGAAACCAGAAAAACCAGTTTAGAATGGGACCCCAACCTGGGGGACTCTCCCAAGGAGACCAATGAAACTGTGTCTTTGGGAAGTTCCTCCAGGGAAAAATAAGTCCCCTTCGTTTGTCTATGTTCCCTCAACTCTTTTCAGCTTTCATGAACAGGACCACCTCAGAAAAAAGGTCAGAAAACTTTTAAAATTCTATATTTGTTAAATTCATAATTTTGATCCAATACGCTTAGGTTAACATGTTTTTCTGATTACACTCTGCTTTATTCTAAGGCCGATTTACAAGGGTTAACTCTCAATCTAATAGGTTTTATAAAAAAAAAAAAAAATAAGCTATAAGGTTTTTGTCTGTTTGCTTTGTGTGGGTGCACCGGTGTACTGTCTGTCTATATGTATTGCCATGTCTACATATATTTGGTACAAAAAATTGACATATGAGCTTATAAATTAAAAATTTTAAAAAATGGATCCAAATACTTTTGGTTAATATGATCTAAAAGGTTCAATTTAAATTAAAAAAATAGATAAAAGTACAAATGTCTTTAAAGTTACTAATGCACAGTTTTGTTTCTAGATGGTTAAACAGCTGTTAAAAATGTTAATGTCTATAAAGTGTCTAACATCCGTTGTCTCTAGGATTTTTATTCAACAACAACAACAAAAAGGTTACTAATGCTATTCAGTGCACTTGTCTGATACCTTGTTTTTAAAAAAGATACATAAATTACATCTAAACATATATAAAATTAATCATAGACATGTTTGTTAGAGACATCTAATTAGTACAAAGTTAAAATGCTGACTGTTAAATATAATATCAAGTACTCTTAACTCCTTAAATTCCATAAGGTAAAATACTTAAGCAATGTTGGTGTTTTCATATGTTGGTAAACTAAAAAAGAAATTTAAAATTTGTGTTATTATAAAAAACAAGGTTACTCTAAATTACAAAGTCCCAACGGTATAATTCTACATACAAGAAGTCAAAAAGTTTCAACTGTATTTTAATTAAAGTACTGTAAATAACGAATATTTCATCTTATTAAAATAGATTAATTTATCTAAATTCAAAAATTTATAAGGGTTATTTCAAAATACAAACCAAAAAAGGGTCAATATATTAAAAATTATTAAAAAGTTCTAAATATAAAAATATATTTAATAAAAAACATTTCCAGGTAAAAAGTCTTTACGTGGTAAAGTATAATTATAATACATCTAAGTAAACAACAAAGGGTCTAATTAAGTAATATAAAGGTCTATAAATAAAAGACAAATATTAAAAGGTTTATATGTAACTTAGTAACATATAACACATATAACTTAGTAACATATAACACATAACATATATATACATATAAAGGTTTATATGTAACTTAGTAACATATAACACAAATATTTAAAACTATTCAAGGTTGTTCCCTAAGGACAAATAATAATGTACTGATATATTTATATGTTAAAATGACAAAAACTTCTAAAATATTAATTACATTATGTCTTATTAAGTTTTATCCCCTAAAACAAGTAATCTTAGAGAAATTAAGGTTTGTACATCTGTGGCTAAACAACAACTGTTATTTCAAAGTATTGTCTTACATTACAAAGTCTAGATTTTCCTTTAAAAGCTAACCTTGGTTAATATAAAAACATCAATAAAAGTGTGGTACATTACTCTTCTTTACAGATTAAATGTGTTCATATCTTTCAGGCATAAAAGTCTTTAAAGTAAAAGGTTTAAAGAAACATTTTATCAAGGTGGTATTCTCCAAACTAAAATTGTCTGTAATGGTAATTTAAACTTTTAAAGATAATCAATTTTATTGGAGATTTATTTATATCAATTGATATTTTGTAACCAAATTTTATGTTACCTTTTGCCCTAAATTTAAAAAGTAATGAGAGCCTAATCTATTTAAAGATTAATATTATAAAACATTTTGCCACTTTTCCACATGTAAAAAAAATGTTAAGGGCTCTCAGCCTTTCCTTAATTAATGTTTCAGATGTATGTCGTATTGTACTACTAACATTCATACAGAGTCAGGAAACAATATATGTAAACTTTATAAAATGATATCTGAAAAGAGAGACAAAGATCAGCTTTAAAATTAAAACACTTTACCTAAGATTTGTAAAGAGCCCTGCCTTATCTGAGATAAGGCTCTGCCTCCCACCTTACAACATGTCAAAATAACTTCAAAGTAGACGAGATTTCAGTTAATTTAAAGTTATATTCAAAGATTAATTTTATTACAAAAATTACTGTAATTTCAAATAAAAAATATAATGTATAACTCAGCCAAGGTTCAAAATAATATACAAGCTAAATATGTTTTTACTATTGTTAATTTCACTTTGTATTTTCATTATAACTAAAAAAAGTGACCACTACACTCAAAACAACCAAGAGACCTTTACTGTGACAATGTCTGATTAACACAAGAGAGAGAGAGAGAGAAAGTGAGGGGGGGGGAGAGAGAGAGAGAGAGAGAGAGAGAGAGAGAGAGAGAAAAGTACGAGAGAGAGAAAGAAGAAAAAAAAGTGAGAGGGAGAATGAGAGACAGGGAAAGTGAGAGAAAAAGGAGAGAGCAAGAGAGGAGGACCTGGCAAGAGAGAGTTTTTATAGCCAAAAATCTAATGGGGTCTCTAGGTCTGCAAACTGCCTTGTTGGTGTACAGTGATTGGATCATACAGTAGATGCTAAGGTGTCATCTTCTGCCTTCAGGCAGATCTTCAGCATTACGTAAATTAATAAATAAAATAAGGATATTGTGTTATGTAAAAATTAACTGTAAAGTTATTAAGATTAAAGTTAAAGCCCAGCATTCTTACTTTAAAACTGGTAAAACTGACTTGCTGGATGTTTAAGGCCAAATTTAAATATTAAGGTTAAAATAAAGGGTCCAAAGAAACCAATATTTGGCTCTTGCCCTCTAAGTCAGCCTGAACCCAGGAAAGGGAAAAAGCTTTGCAACTCCAGGCCACATAACCTCCCGATAAGGGAGATTAATGAGACCACTGGAGAATAGAAAGCCAATGAATGTACATGCTGCAAAAGAGGAGGGGTCATTTAAAAAGGAGACGTGCCTGATGCTTCCAAGGGAAGCCATATGGTCAGCAAGACCTTGACCCATCCTAATGCAGATGACACTAACAGAGCTAAAATGCTACTCACACATTCCCCAAGAATGTCCTCCAAGGAAACTCAGCTGATTCTTACCAATAGATAGAAACAAGGTCAGTTTGACCAGCTTGGTCTTAAACACCTAGCAAAAACAGTTAAAACCAAAGCACAGCCATTCCTGGACATTTACAAAAAAAACAACAGTTATTTTAATGTAACTTTAAATGTACACTAGTGTTAGCATCCCCCAAAATAAGTAAGACTGGAGACAACAGAAGAAAAATTCTTAGGCAAAAATGCCTGATAACTACCAATAAATGCCAGAAGTTTCTATTCCGTTTAAGGCCTACAGATCTTCCTAACTTCCTACATAGGTAGGTGTAATCAATGTTTATTAATATAATTATCTAGTCCTAAGTAACAAAAAGATCTTTACTGAACACAGAGGTCATGCCAAAAAGGTATTTTTACAAAAACCAGATGACATTAACTAATTTAACTAAATGTTGTGTCTACATTCCTGATAATTCTGACAATGTTAAAGATTTATGTTCCCTAAAAAAGTGCCTTATTAGGCTGTGTTTGGCCTTGTTATGAGGACATTTTCTCAGGTCTTCCGCCTCCTGGTAAACAATTATTAATTTCTGTCATTTTCATGATATTCATGGACAGGTTCCAGATGCTAAAACTGCTATTTTGTATTAATCTTACTTCAGCACCATGTCTTTTTGTTTCTCTCATAGAAGTGCCCACCCCAGGTGACTTTACATCCTGTTCTTCCTGAGCCAGATTTTTACCATGGACTCCTTGACCCACTCAGTTTCTAAAAAGGGACTCCAAACTGCTTGCCGTCTGCACATCGCCCCCTTTCAGCTGGAAGTAGCAAGAACAGTCATCGCCCTTTTCCCTTACAGCAGTTGGAGGTCCCTAATATTAGAAGAAAAATTACGGTCAATGTAGATGTTTGCCAACATGTCTAGCTCAGGAAGATGTACCTGGAAACTGCTCCCAAGATCACCCTGGGTGATCTCCCAGAAAGAGACACTTGCTTCCACAACCCAACTTATAAGTGGAAAAAACTCCCTGTTCACCAAAAATTGTGCTTTCCAGGTCCCGCTTTGAACTCCTTGACTAAATCTCTAAACTGTCAATAACTCTGAACTATGTAACCTACTATTTTGATGGAGTAAAGGGAAAAGAACACCTGGACTTATAATGGGGTATTGTTTCTGTAACTAGGGTAACGGTGTTCTGTTTCTGTAACTGGGGTGACTGGGCTAACTGTGATTGGTTAGGCTTCCCTCCGCTTGACTGCACTCTCCCGCTTCTGTAACCTGGCTTGCTTGCATTGGCTAGACCAGCTGAACATCCCTTTTGCGGTTTTCAGGCTTATAAGAGTGCCCTTGCAATTGTTTGGGGCTAATCAGGGGAACAGCTTTATGTTCTGGTCAGCCGCCACCGGTGTACTTCAATAAAGGCTGGAAGTCAGTTTATGGAACCCTGGGACGAAGCTTTAACTATAATAGCACCACCTAGAACATGTGGAATAAGGCAGGGCTCTACAGAAAAGGGGTGAAGTTGCCTCTGGAATAAGGGTTGGCAAACTTTTCTGTAATGGACCAGATAGTAATTTTTTTGAGGGGGCTTTATGAGCTACAAAACATCTTTGCTGTCTATTCCTTTCCTAAGCTTTCTCATTTCTGTACTGAGGAATAAGTGCTGAGAGTTGAATCAAAACTGAACAAAAAAGGACAGCAGGGATAAAGGAAAGAGGGAAAGAAGAAAAACAGGGAAGGATGGCAAGAGCATGTTTTAGAAAGTATGAAGGCCACATTTCTAATTACAAAACAATAAAACTGAAGGCGCCCTAGAAAGGTGAAGTTGGAAAAAAGGAGAAAAAAAATCCTTCAGTGAGAGCCATAAGAAGACATGCTCACAGAAGAGATGGAAACCACAACCTAATATTTTAAGGCAACTAAAATAAAGCAAGAAAATGAAAAAAAGCAATATCAAAAAAGCAACACAAATCAAAGGTGGAAGAAATCAGAAATGAGGTATTTGAAAAACAGGAATATTTGTAAATATAGGTAACAGAATTACCTCAGAAAAGAATTAGAAATTTAAAAAATCATTTCAGAAACTAAGGTTAAATTATCTACAATAAAAGAACAAATAAATATATTATCTTTTTTTTTTTTTGCATGCTGGGGATTAAACCCCAGGCTCTATCACAAAGTTTTACTCCAGCCCATATATTCATTTTTTCTCAAAACTAAGACAGCTTTATTGTCATTTATTATAAAAGTAAAACATATTACCATAAAATTAAAGCAACATAAAGTATAAAGGAATATAAATATCACCAGAATATAAATATCACCAGAATATAAATACCATTGCACAGAGATATTGTTAATATTGTTAATATTTTGGAAAACGACCTCCCCCAGGGAGAAAACTTGACATATTTATTTTTTTAAAAATTTTTAGTTGTAGATGGACACATACCTTTAGTTTATTTATTTTTATGTGGAGCTGAGGATTGAACTTAGTACCTCTCACATGCAAGGCATGCACTGTACCACTGAGCCAAGACCCAGGACCATATATTAATTTTTAAAAAGGAGATTAAAAGGAGGAAAAATTGAGAAAGAAAAAAAATGAAGAGATCGAATTTGAGATAAAATGAGCTTTAGAAAATATGTAAAGAAGTACGAACATTATGTATAATAATATTCAGAGTATACAAAGAACTCAAAAAATTAGACAATAAGTTAACAAATAACCCAATCAACAAATGGGCCAAGGACCTGAACAGACACTTCTCAGAGGAGCACATACAATCAATCAACAAGTACATGAAAAAATGCTCACCATCTCTAGCAGTCAGAGAAATGAAAATCAAAACCACCCTAAGATACCATCTCACTCCAGTAAGATTGGCAGCCATTCTGAAGTCAAACAACAACAAGTGCTGGCGAGGATGTGGGGAAAAGGGTACTCTTGTACATTGCTGGTGGGACTGCAAATTGGTGTGGCCAATTTGGAAAGCAGTATGGAGATTCCTGGGAAAGCTGGGAATGGAACTACCATTTGACCCAGCTATTGCCCTTCTCGGACTATTCCCTGAAGACCTTAAAAGAGCGTACTACAGGGATACTGCCACATCGATGTTCATAGCAGCAGAATTCACAATAGCTAGACTGTGGAACCAACCCAGATGCCCTTCAATAGATGAATGGATAAAAAAAATGTGGCATTTATGCACCATGGAGTATTGCGCAGCACTAAAAAATGACAAAATCATGGAATTTGCAGGGAAATGGATGGCACTAGAGCAGATTATGCTAAGTGAAACTAGCCAATCCCTAAAAAACAAATGCCAAATGTCTTCTTTGATATAATGAGAGCAACTAAGAACAGAGCAGGGAGGAAGAGCAGGAGGAAAAGATTAACATTAAACAGAGACATGAGGTGGGAGGGAAAGGTAGAGAAAAGGGAAATTGCATGGAAATGGAAGGAGACCCTCATTGTTATACAAAATTACATATAAGAGGTTGTGAGGGGAATGGGAAAAAAAAAAACAAGGAGAGAAATGAATTACAGTAGATGGGGTAGAGAGAGAAGATGGGAGGGGAGGGGAGGGGGGATAGTAGAGGATAGGAAAGGTAGCAGAATACAACAGTCACTAATATGGCATTATGTAAAAATGTGGATGTGTAACCGATATGATTCTGCTATCTGTATTTGGGGTAAAAATGGGAGTTCATAACCCACTTGAATCTAATGTATGAAATATGATATGTCAAGAGCTTTGTAATGTTTTGAACAACCAATAAAATAAATAAATAAATAAAAGAGTAATTACAGTTCTTTGAGAATACTTTGTTTTGTAGAATTGACTTTGGAACTATGTAAATATTTTATCTAATTCGAAAGTAAAATAAAATAAAACCAATTCCTAAAAAACAAGACTAAAATTAAACAAGTCAACCTCCCTGTCTATCCACAGAGACAAACCAAAATAGGGAGAAAATTTTCAAACTGCCTGTAAATCACATAATTTGGTTCTGTTCTCTCAGTGTGATAAACCTAAGACAAAAAGAACTATCAATAATTCATATGATTGATCATATTAATCAATATGATTGATTTCTAACAATCATATAATTGTTGCCAGTGATACTGGTATTGTAAGTCTGTTGTGCGTATATGGAAGGATAAAGCAAAATAATAATTTTGATGATATCATTGGAAACAAAGACTTTCGACAAAGAAAAAAAGAGATTAAGTCAATGAGGTCGATATCAGCAAAGTTAAATAAAAATCTGATAGTAGCATGAATTTGTGATATATTTTAACACTAAATTTTTTCCAGGATCTAAACTTCTAGAATGGTGGAGAATAGTGACAAAAACTGTCAAAATACCTGTTTTTAAAATTCTAGATTCAAAGGCTTCAAACAATTTGAGGGTGTTTATTTGATAAAAATGACTTGATGTGAATAGCAAGCTTGCGGTGGTTTAACTTGCCTTAATCCTATCCACAGACCCCTTTCCATGGTAGCCTGCAACAGCCTTGCAGCTACCATAGCTGTGAAAAGGAGCAGCTTGCCAGGCACTGCAGGAGGGGAAAGGATGTGTTTGATGCTCTCCAAAAATCCATTCCTAGAGCACTGTCACAATTGACCTGTCTGGTCACTGGAAAACTCCATTCTCAGAACATTATTTGACTTAACTGAGAGCTCATACTGTGTGAACAGCCCAGTCTGCAGGAAGTTTGTGGAAATTGATCAACAACTATTTAACAATGCAGCTGCCCAAAGCAGCATTACCAGTTGGGGGCTGATACACAACTGACTAAAACTTAAGAAAAACTGGAAAATAAGATTTAAATAAGGGGCTTTGAAAAACTCCAGCAAATTCCATAATCTAGAAGGCCATGCATTTGTTCAGGGCTGTGTGTATGCCTAGGAAAGAACAGAGAAAGCCCTGATCTCTCACCTCTTGGTGACCTTGAGGCTTTGCATAGGTAGGAAAAAAGGCAAAGACAGAGTTGTACAAGGTCTGCTGCAGCCACAAAGGTGTCCCTCATCTTAACAAATCCAGCTATGTACTATATATATAGATGTCGAACAAAGTGATAAAGAAAAGTTGAAAAAGGAGTAGGCAAGGAACACCAGGCAGTTACAAATGAAGGGTAAGTAGAAGCAGCATGTTAATTTGAACAAACAAATAAAAAGGATAATCCACTAGATTCACATTTCCCTGATTCAGAAAACTTAAAATTTTAGTAATTAATTAATCATTTGTCTTAGCTCTCCTTTCCCACAGTCTTAAATGGCTGAGATGGCAGTCTGGGTTGTATTGGGCTCTTTGCTTTCTCACCTGAAAAGCTCTGCCCTTGTCTGGAAGCTGCAGGCCATCAGCAGCCTGGGAAGTGGCTTGGGTGGGGCTGATACAGCTCTTCCCAGCTCTTATTGCCTTTTCCACACACACAGTCCTGGTCAGTGGCTGAAGGAACTAAAAATAGCTGGAAATGCTGTAGCTGGTCAGTCTCCAGGGGCTGGGTCAGCTGAGGCTCCAGAAAAGGGAATCATGGAGCCTGATAAACAGCTCCCAGAACTGCAAGTGCCTATTTACTGGAAGTCTCTGTGTGATTTTGGCAGCAGAAGAGCCAAAGACACGTCTAGTCACACACTCATACCCACCTGATACTGAGCACGTACCACAGACAGTAGCTAAGGCCATGAACCCTCCTGGAAAAATAATGTGCTAACTGAATGTCTAGAGGCTGACACACAGGTTTCTTGAGGGACCTCCCTGGAAAAGGTGACTAGAAAACAGATCTGGAGTGAGATGCTGTATGTGGCCAGACATGAACAGGGCAAGAGGAAAGCACTCTTTTTCACCTAGCTGGTACAATGTGTTCAGGAAGATGAGATGGTGGGATAGAGTCGGACAACCCTGGCTGTAAATCTCCTTTTGTTCATTACTAACTTTGTGTTCTTAGACTGTTACTTTATACTTGTGTGCATCAGTCATTTTTTTTGCACTTATATTATGGCAATGGTGCTGGGCATCGTGGTGCATGCCTGTAATCCTGACTTGAGAGGCTGAGGCAGGAGGATCTCAAGTTCCAGGCTAGTTTTAGCAACTTAGTGAGAACTTATTTCAAAATAAAAAATATGAGATAACTGTATTTATGTGGGGTGGTCTTTGTGTCTTCTATTCTGTACCATTGGTCTACTTGTCTATTTTGGTGCTAATACCATGCCATTTTTATTACTATAGCTTTGTAGTATATTTTAAGATCTGGTATTGTGATGCCTCCTGCTTCACTCTTTTTGCTAAGGATTGCTTTAGCTATTTTGAGTCTCTTATTTTTCCAAATGAATCTCATGATTGCTTTTTCTAGTTCTATAAAGAATGATGTTGGGATTTTAATTGGAATTGCATTGAATCTGTATAGCGCTTTTGGGTAGTATGGCCATTTTGTCAATATTAATTTTGCCTATACAAAAACATGGGAGGTCTTTCCATCTTCTAAGGTCTTCTTCAATTTCTTTCTTTAGTGTTCTATAGTTTTCATTGTAGAGGTCTTTCACCTCTTTTGTTAAATCAATTACTAGACAAAGGTGCCAAAAACATACATTGGAGAACAGATAGCCTCTTCAACAAATGGTGCTGGGAGAACTGGAAATCCATATACAGCAAAATGAAACTAAACCCCTATCTCTCACTATATATAAAACTCAACTCAAAGTGGATGAAAGACCTAGGAATTAGACCAGAGACCCTGTGCTTAATAGAGGAAAAAGTAGGCCCAAATCTTCACCACATAGGATTAGGCCCTGATTTCCTTAACAAGAATCCTAAAGTGCAAGAAATAAAATTAAGAATCAATAAATGGGATGGTATCAAACTAAAAAGCTTCTTCTCAGCAAGAGAAACAATGAGGTGAAGAGAGAGCCTACACTTTGGGAGCAAATTTTTGCCATATAAATGTCAGATAGAGCACTAATCTCCAGGATATATAAAGAACCCAAAAAACTTAACACCAAAAACCAAAACCAAAAACAAACAACCCAATCAAAATAAATGGGCTAGGGAGCTGA